AATAAAACAGCAATATTTTCCAAATACTGAACAATCATTGTTTCCCATAGAAGTGGAAATGAAATATTATATTTTCGTGAAAAAAACAATTCGACTCGTATTTTTGCGTTCATTCTATGTTGACACATAACGCACATTTGATTTAATTAAATAAGTTAAATTAAATAAATGAATTTCTCTTTTGATTGAGAATAATTTAAAGTCAGCTTAAATATATTTAGAACAGTTATTCATTAAAACATGTACTAAATAAGAATATTTACATTTTTTTATTTGAGATTTTACTAGAAATGCATTGATTCATAATAAAGTCCATGAAAAAAAACTGCATAAGATAATATATGCGAAAGAAGAATGAAATTCCCAGCATACTCTCTCCATATACATTGAATCCTTATCTTCCATATATGTATATGGTATACAATCGAGAATCTGCGATAATAATTTTCTTATCGTGAATTTGCGTCGAAAAACAGGATAAGATAGGCAGCTTCAGAACTTGTCTTGAAGATGCATCAAGGCGAACGATGCAGGGGTGCAATTCTGAGAGGGTGGTACGGTGATGCGAGCGATCGTGAAGAATTCGCTTTTACGAGATTCCGCCGGAAAGTCCTGAAATCGCACGAAATGAACGCCGAGAGCGCGTCGAGCGCAGTCGGAATCTTGTAGATGCATATCAATGCAGACGGGAATTTTCATTTACGGATCGAGAGAGGGATCGCGCGCGATCACGCTGGATTCACGCGTTCCGCGTTCCACTGAGAGCGCGCCGGATTTTCTCCGCGCGTTTCCATTGCGTGTTAGGCCGTTAATGCGTGCGAACAAAATAATACGCAAACACTTTTTTTAGAGTGGCAAAAATGTGTGCTTTTGTTTTGGAAGATTCAGTGGTACGCTAAATCTCTTTATTCTTTTTCTAACTCTAAAATTGTATCTAGGAGAATGATTTTTTTTTATAATTAAATATAAAAACAAATATTGACAGTCTGAATAAGGAAAACGCATGTACGATGCTCTGTTCTTAGATTCTATAGCGGTGTGATTAATTGCAAAGTTATTCATGTCGCAGACTAAATACTCCTGAATAACGATCATATAAAATTAATTGCGCCTGAAATATATGAATCGAAAACTAATATGTACTCCAAAGGAAAGTTACAAACTAACACGATATCGCTAAATAATAAATTGTAAAGTATGCGCAATATCATATCTTCGGATCTCGCGGAGGCGCGATTAATTGCAAATCAATTTGCATCGCGAACGATACTGCTGAATAGATCAGCAGTAACAGCCGACTCTTACTTCGCTTCATCTTGCAGCACACGGGATTTTAAAACGATCTATACGAGATTATATTAATGGCAAGGTACGAGTTATAGCGTCCGCGCCGTGGAAGCATGCCTTTCAATACTGTAAACGTTCATTGCGATCACTTCATACGTGATTGAAGCCATCGGCGTAGCTCGCCGTTTCATCATTGAAATCTTATCGCAGTTTCTGCAGGATCTCGATTCGTATCACGGCTTCCCGCGCCACTGGCGCGTATAAGTTGGTACGGAAAATCGATAGCAATCGCGATTAAATAAGTTTCCTCGGAGAACTTTTTTTACGGCGATATACTCACACACGCTGGCTACGATAATGTTACAAATCTCTTATATGATTCTCGCTATGAAAGAACCTATCGCAGAGATACAGATATAATGAGAGTACCAGTAATATATCTTGATGAAAAGACATTTTAATACAAAAAATGTATCACGAGAGATCATTCTTAAATCAATGTAAATATCTCTCTGTTCACAAAACATTTTAATCCTTCTGTAGCCCAAAATTGGCCGGAACAAGCGGAATCTCATATACCAACCGCTGTATATCCTTGTATAGCAATCGTACGTGCCATTTTATTTACCGAATATTTCTCGTGTCGCGGACGTAATATTAAATAAAATCGAAACCCAAATATCGCTGTTAAATATTTTTCGAGATAATATTGTCCCGATAGGATGCGCTCCGGGTTTGCGGCCGCCACCGTGTCGTTATAGATCGAACGGAGTACACTTAAATGTGTGCATTAGGGAGGACATCGAAAGAAAACATTTGCTTTGCACCCTCACGAGTCCGGTCCAATGGGTCACAAATTTCCTGCGTAAGCATTAGGGTCTATCTGGCTGAACAATAGCGAGCCGCGAGCTCGTTTTTCTCGTATTTGCGTCTATTCCATGGCCGACTTTTTTTATCCCTGATCTGTTGCTATAATCTCGTTGATAGTTGCATAACTTTAACGCGACGCACAACTCTGATGTATCGACAAGCATAGAAAAAAAATAGTGCAATTGATAAAAATACAATTCGGGATTCTTAAAATGAATTTCTTAATACGCACAACAATGTGAAATAAATTATAAGATAATATTTTGTATTCGATATACATATATGCATAGTTCGAATTGTAAAATAATCTCGGTGATATCAAATATAAAACGAGTATAACATATATTTATATCGAACATCAAATGTAAAAGTAACGCTCTTCAGCATCATAATTAATGTATGATCATCGATGTAGGTGAATAACAACGTTTTAAAAAAATTACAGGCAATTAAAGCGTTCCAGAAATCGCTATAGTTGCATCGACGAACAGCGTAAAAATAAAATATTTTTCACGCAATTATCATACGCTATGTCAATTTATAAAATATCGATACATTTCTAAAGTTAATTTTTAATTTTTGCTTTTATAACGTTTTAATCGTTGTTTTGCATTGATATTATTTTGTTGAGCGAAAAATGTATCACTATGCTATTAACACTTGCATTATACATGATAACGTATATGATAATAATAATGCAAGACATTTTATCGCAAGAAATTACATTTTTATATAAATTTTTTCCATAAAAATAGTAGGGAATTTGTTTTGCAAGAGCTTAAATTACATACGGATATCCCGCGCGTAAGATATAATGATGTAAATAATATTCTCACATGCCGTTTCTCGATCTGCTCGATTTTATCACTTCCGCGATGCTGCACGTCCGCTTTACGGAATCCTCCAAGGATCTATTTATGGATCCATATCGATCGATATGCACGGTCGGTTCGCTACGCGGATAATCATTTCCTCCGTAATCATATTTACGGGGATTACGGTACCGCGCTAATCAGTGGCGCGTAATTCCGCCAAAATCAGTCACCGGCGCGCATTACTAATTACTTCGCGATCGGCTTATTACAGGCGACGCGGATTATTATCGATCAAATAATTCTCTATCCAATCGAGACAAACTCGTAATGCATCTTTTGCAAATACTAGCGTGTTATTCAATCTTTCTCTTTACTTTGACATATTATTAATTCCGGATTTTTAGCTGCTTGTTTTGTTCACTCTCGTTTCCATTTTCCCTTTTCCGAAAAACATGAATATATACTTGTTTCTATCATCTTAAGTAGAAAATTCTATTAATATAAAATTCGCATTCTCTCTTTCTCCCATTCTATATATAGGACCCGCTTTAGACAGAAAACACCAAAGTATATTGAAATTAAAAATGAAATAAAAATAAAATATAAAATTGCGTTCCGCTGACTTTCACATTTCTTGGACATTGGAGAAGTTTGAGTATTAATTTTGCCTCGGGTTGTACAAGTGCATTGCTGCATTTCCGGCGAGAGAAGAACGCATCTGCTCGCGATGATATTTCATTCAAATGGTCACAATGAAAAGTATTGATGACTTCGGAGGAGTTATCGCGTCATCTGCGCAAACTTGTGAGCACCGGGCAATCTGCAAACGATGTCCCGACGTTGAAATCTGCAAATCGATGACGTTTGCGTGTGCGTACGGAATATATTAAGAGCCGACTTTATACTAAATTAATCATTCGCTATGAATATACGAGCGAGCTTTCGATTAGACGACGAGAAATAAATGCATAGGAAATGCATGAAAAAATTTAACGCAGATAAAATTTACAAAATTGTTCTCCAATTTCCGGAATAAAACTCCTTACCTAGTTTTATATGAGTCATCTTGATAGGTTACTCAAATTGACTGTCCATATGGCCGATCGATTTTTACGACAACCTTGTTTACACGAATCACTTATCTCTCAACCTAAACGACTTATCTGGAACAACCGTTAAGAGTGAGTTGTGCAAACTCGCCTATATTTACTATTGTCATTCGTATCATAGCCTGTCGAAACGGGCAGGTGCGTCCTGCGCAGGACATTTCTGGATCCGTCGTTCGCGAATCGGATCGAGTTTCGACACGAAAACCATCGCAGCCCGATCGTGTATCCAATTACCGAGACATTGCTATGCGGAATATCTCGTGTATGAGCGTTCGACAGGATGATATCGATAAGGCATTCGTTGTGACATCGGGCTCGAGCCGTCGACCCAGGGATATTTTGTCCCTCTCCCCCTTTCTTCCCCTCTGCTCACCATACATATATATATACATATACATACATATATCTACTCTTCGAGCCCCCGTTCGTTCACCGTCTGATCGATGCGACTCGATTTTTACGAGTCATAACCGCCGCGCTCGAGCCGGACCGGTTTAATCTGCCGGTCGCGATCTAATTTATCTGTAGGAGTAATTGAATGCCTTGAATTTCGGATAGTTTGAATGCGAGATCTTTTCCATGGAAATTGGCGTGACAATGAACAATAAAGGTTCGATCGGAGTTTCATTCTTTTTCCTAAATGCGACTTGACTTGAATTTATTTCGGAAACGTAAGATGAGAAAAGACTAGCTTGATGTAAGAAACCTGTAATAATTAATTAATTATACAATTTAAACCATATATAGAGAAAAGTGTTTTAGAAAAGCAGTGTGAAATAATGCTATAAGTCTTGATTTAATTGCTGTTTTTTTTTGTAATTTTCATTTTGAAATACGCCGGTATGAACAATGCACATCGGTGCATAATAATTATAATTTTTATATATTTTTAAATGTGATTTGTTTTTTACTATTTCAGGTCGGCGAAAAGTATTCTACAGTACTTTTGGAGAAAGAGAACGATGTGCGAAGACGTACGAATAAGTTTGAGACGAGCGGAAGAAAAATATTAGCGTTATATCGCTTCCTGACTACATGGACGGCCGATGGAGGTTCATACCAGCACAATATTACACCAGTTATAGCGATATGATAGCGGCCGTTGATCGTGTGGCTCTCGAAGTGGCTATGCAAATTAACGCGGGCTCTATCGAGCGAGATTGCCCGGAGAGAGTCTCGGTAAAAGAGAACGAAGGATAGACGCGAAGAATCAAAGAAGGACGGTAGAAACGAGTAGAGAGAGAGAGAGATGTACAGAAAAGAGAGAGAGAAACAGAGAAGAAAAGCCGCAGGGCAAGGGAATCCGAGCGAGCATCGGAGAGAGTGAACGAGAATAGAGGAAGAACGTCGACCCCGCAGATCGTAGAAGAGGATAGTGAACGCGAATGGGTGAGTTTGATTTTATCTTATTCACAGATGAATTCTCTGCGAAGGACAATTTCGCGCAACGCAGGGCTTTTAAACCAAATCTCATCGATACGCAAATGATGAGTATACACGTTGTTAATTTTATTTGTATTAGCGGCAACGCGAATGCCGCGTTCAAAGTGAGCCGCGTTCAAAATTTGTGTGCCGTGTGACTTTCTATTGCGGAAGAGCGGCGTGCGATTTCGCCACGCGCACAAAGCCACTTTGCCTGCACTTGTAATACAAAATAGTATGTGTATCACGTGCGGATTGACAATTGTTCACTCGTGTGGGGTGGTCGCACTCGCCTTCGACTTGTGCGTTCATCCCCCGCACTCGTGACCAATTATCAACTTTCCACACTTGATACACAATATACTATTAACACTTTTTTATGCGACATAATTATATTTTATGTGCTTACCGCATGAAGGGATTAAATCGTCGAATTCCTGGGCGAATATCAACGACGAATGCTTGCGAAAGCGAAAATATTGCATATCGATAAAAACAATGCGACATTTGTTGCAAACAAACGATCAGCCACGCGTGGGTGGAAGCTTTGTATTACGATAAACGCGCAAAAAGCGCTGCAAGTCACACGCTTCCCTCCTAAACTCGCGGAAAACTCTGACATTTTTTTCTTGATTTTCAACTCACTGTCACCCTCCGCTCGGCAAGAAGTCGTCAGGCGAAATTGGAAAAATGATCATGACCCGAGTTCATTTGTCTCCGCCGCGAACATCGCTTGGCGCGACCGCAAAAAGCGACGGTGCGCGACGCGCGATCGATTCGCACGCGCGCGTGTGGAGGCTGCGATCTATATTCGCGACGCGCGCAAAAAGCGCGCTGAATTATTGCCGAAGTTCCCCCGCACGGAATAGCATAAAGAGAGAGAGAGAGAGAGAGAGGGAGAGAGAAGGAGCGAGATAGCGTTTGCCATCGATTGCGCAGGGGTTATTTCCGAATGTATATTATAGATATTATCAATTCAATGCTCCTGTACTGTATGTGGTTACTAGTGAATTAGTTGAAAGATCATAGCTCTGTGTGTGCGATATTAAATCGATGCGACCATGATCGTTGTGTGAAATATTATATGCGATATATGGGAGAGAATGACATTTTATATTGAATTTTGTGATAGTACCGTAAAATCTTTTGTACTTTACAATTGAAATTTTAATATCACGCACACACGCATTTCTGAGTTACGATAACGGCGTTTAATTCTGCAGTGGCACAATTTAATCGCAATTAATAATCGTAATAGATATTGCACACATGTGCGTACACACACACATATACACAAATATATATAATATATATATATATATATATTTATATATACATTATATATATATATATATATTATTTATATATACATATATATATATAAAATAATATAATAGTTAATTAATATAATAGTAATGTGATAACGTTTATATAATGTAAAATGGATTCATGAAATATACGTATGAAAGGCATATGTATACCCATTTCGCATTACGTAAATGTCATTGCATTTTTTGTAATACTATTATATGAATATTATATTTAAATTGATAAGAAAAGATGTATATAGAAATTAATTATTGATAGTATAGTCTCTAAATTTTTTCGTTACATTCTTCGATATCTTTGTACATATTTGCAAGTATAAAGTGTGGAATCAAGTCTAATAATTCACTGAAAACAATGTCCCGCGCGTTCATAATTTCCGTGATCTCGCTGTTACATTGAATTTTCCTCTCGCGGAAAACACGGTCCAAACACGAGGGATTCTGACCTCGTCGCGATGCATGTTCGTTTCGGTTTTTCTCGGAAACAAAAAATGAACATGGAGAGAGGAAAAAGAATAAGAGAGAAAATATGTGAGTCTAGAAGGGTAAGAAAAGTAGTAAAGAAGAGAATGCATCTTCTGAAGCGAAACGTACGAAATGTACGAGAAAGAGAACGAATTTTCTCTCTTTCTCGCTCTCCCTGTGTATATATGTGTGTATGTATGTGTATGTGGAGAATTTGTCGATTTATTACTCGAAGATAGATAGTTCACTCAAAGCCTGAACACGAAATGATTTTAGAGCGGGTGTGGCAAGTGTTCATCGCTTCTCTTTTACATCTCTTTCTCTCTCCCATTTCGGAGGCAGTCAAGTTCGTCGAATGGAGAGGCTACGCAAAGATGGGGTTGTATTTCATAAAGTGAGAAGCCAAGTTCAGCCCGGTCTGTAAGTTCGCCAGGTCCAATCCTGACGTGCACTTAATACAAGTTTTCTATTCGCTCCTCTCTACCTACCTCTCCGTCTCTTTCGCTTAGTATTCCTCTTGCTCTTAGTTTATTAACTAGCGCCGGGAATCTGGCGCCGGTGCCAGGAATATGACGATGCGTCGTCGCAGGTCGCCGCAAAAACGTGCCTGAAACGAAGTCCATGTAGCGAGAAGACGTTATGTGACACCCGCGCAGAAAGTGTTATTTACGGGCGAGGCGTTTCTAGGGAGCGGAGCACGAGCCGGTGAGTTAACGTCGCCCGAGGAAAAACAAACATTTTAATGCGCCACCCACTGTAATGCAGCTGCCGTTGTGCGCGGCGAAGTGCATCTTCGCTGAAAAGGAGAAAGCCCCGCGCGATTTTCGCGAACGATTAAACTCTTTCGGGACAGAGTGTCTTTATTAAAACAATTTAACATTTCACGAATAGGTGCTATCATAATTCTATATTCCACACCAATTTTGGGAATTTTTAGGATATTTTTGAACATATTGAGCGTACGTTTTCCTTTCTTAAATTTTTCTAATAAATTTTAATTATGTTTTGAAATATCCAAAGGACTTTCTATATTTTATATACTTATACAAACAAAACGTTTATTATATTAAAATTGTATTGTTTATGAATTTTAGTTTATATGTATATTTCTTTTCGTGGATTTATATTTGAAAAACCAACGCTGAAAATCATTCAATTAACAACCGTGCATATTTACATTTCAAAAAGAAAAAGTAAAAAAATATGAAAATGTAAATATGTTTCTCATGATTGCATTTCAGTTAGTTTTTTTTTTTTTTTTTTACAATAATACAACTGTTATTCAAAGATAATATTCTGCATAATTATAAATATTTAGGAATAATAATTATAAAAATTTATAACAGAATATATAAAAGAATAAGAAAATGTAAAAGTTAATCCAATGCTGAGAAGAAAAACTCCTCCGTACGTTCTTATAATTTGAAGGACTTTTATTTTTTATTTGCGAAAAAATATAATAAGAAGGAAACAGTCACAGAAGAAAACAATTTCTCCTAGAAAACATTAAACGTTGATTAGAACCCACCGCTTAATTACACACATGAACAATCCGAGAAATGGGGTCACCCGAAGCAAGCTTTTCTGGTCAAAAGTCACCGCACACCGTAATAAATTAATTAAGCTGGTCAAAATTTCCGAAAGTGTCACGTGAAACTCCGAGTTTTCCGGCTTAAGTAAAGCATAAATTCCCGACGGTTTTGTGTTGGGGATCCGAAAAAATGGGGACGCGTAAGCTGCCGAGAAAAATGGAAACGGGCTTTCGTACACAATACTCGACGGTGTCGTAAAACATTCACGGAGGTTATAATTTCGAACAGTTTTCCTAGCAAAGCACACGGGTAACGAGCAACTATCCATTATCGTCATGTGTTATACATACAACGTACGTAAACATTCGTGTATACGCGCGTACGCACTTATACGCACCTCGTAAACTGTTTTGTTCTATAATTATCTCTCAATTTCGTCTTTCGTCTTGCGAAAAATTATTTGTAATAATTATTTCTAATTTTTCATAATTATTCCTAAACAACTGTTTCCATTTACGTTTCTTTTTCTTTACATACTGCAATCTCTTTTTGATACTTTACAAAGAATTGCAATCAAATTGGCAAAGCGCGGCAATTAGCCATTCCATGAGGTCTCTAAAACATTAAAATAGCTTTCCTCCATCGCTCGTTCCTCTCTTGCTTTTTCGAGCTTGCATAATTAGAGCGCATAATTTCTGAAACCGTTAAGAAATTACTACGGTTCGTCTGAATCTCCTCCTTGTGCAGATATCCTTTTTTTTAATTGGTTCGTCAGTACTTGCATAGAAAAAACGGAAAAGAAAATATAGTAAACTAAATTTTAAAAACATGTTTCCGTAAAAAAGAAATCTAATATTCATATGTATTTTGCGCGAACATAGGTAAGCGTTAATGCATACGTTACAGAATTTTTGTCACACTTGATTTCTAATAGGTATATAATTTAGAATTTAGAGGTCTTTGAGAATTTCATCTTCACTTTCCATATTAATCTTGTTCGATGTTATTGTTAGTTCAAGTTAGGTTAACGGTGCTAAATCTGTAGCATCTTCCGAAATATAATCAGACGAAAGGTGTTGGTTCGGTCGAGCCCTCGAGATAGATGGTGCGCTGGCAGCATAATTTCAGTTGCAAAAACAAAGGGAGTTAAGCAGGAATATATATGGAGGACGATAATTAACGTAATCTGTTTCCATTGGACGCGGTGGAACGACGGCTGGCATTCACGGCGGGAATATCCAGTTGCAAACTCGAATCCGCGAACGTGAATAAATGTTTTCGGTGGTGGGAGTGGCCGTAATTAAATTATAAATTGCGAGCAATTTTATACTAATTACCAGAGGTACACATTAACAGAGCCATTAAGTCTTCCCGCACAGACACTCCGCGATTCGTCGTACGGACTTTCTTGCCGCGAATACGTTTACACGAGTGTATTGCACATGACAATAACATATTCTTAACTACCAACGAGATATGAGAACTGTAATTGGTTGGAAAATCTACATATATTTATCCGCGAAAATTGTAACACATTAATTCGCCAACAAAACTTGCATCGCTACAATCAATTTTCAAGAAAATATATGTGTGTACATTTTTTATTTCGGAAGCAACATTAAATTCTTGCAAGTTAG